CCCCAAAACCCCAAAACCCCAAAACCCCAAAACCCCTTTATAATATTTCCATGTTGAAATTACCTTAAAAACAATCAGGGCTAGTCATCTCTCTTGTAGTTTATCAAGACTAGATTTGAACTGAAGATGATGCCTAAAGAGGCTCATAAGTTATTTTCTGATGGTTGCTAATTAACTTGGCTTAATGCACTATAATTTTATCTGTAAAACAATTCAATATCATACTCGTCCTTTATCCTATCTATGAACTAAGTAAGAGACATCTCTTATAATTCTGGCTGATTTTTACAGTTACAATATTAGATTTCAGGAAGTCTCATGTTCAGTTTCTTCCTCTATTCTAGAATAATGGCTACACGCTCGTAACTATATAGCTGTAAAAATAATATGAGGAAATCCCACTGTGAGGAAGATTTTTATTCCCATAAATTTGTAATGAAGCAAATGTTCATAAAAAATTACTGAAGATTCAGTTCTTGAATGGTCAGAATTCACAAATTATTTTCATAGTTACTCCCATAATCTCGAATTCCAGGGCTTGCTTAAGATCTGAAGGGATTCTAATATGGCGCAGTATGGCTAGACTTTATTGACAAGAAGAAATAGAAGAGACCTGAGGAAGCCTTACATTTCAACATGATAGTCTGAAAATTTGTACATGTCCTACGGGAACTCTGACAGTTCAATTAGCTTTAAATATCGTATAGGTGATGAGAAGTGCTTACTTGCTCACTTCTCATGAAAAATACTTTATTAACTCAATTAATTAGGATGGGAAGCAAAATTTACTTGGTTTGTAAAAACCCTCAAGTATTGAAAACCGGCCATACTTTATAAATTATTAAAATTTCAGAAGGAAGAATTTTCCTCACGACCTCTTGTTTATCACATTCATCTTGGAACTATTGTTCTAATATCCTATTTATGCGAAATAAATAAAAAAATATTTTCCGAAAATTCTGATGAATTCACATGATGAATTTTTCCTTTAAGAGGGAATAACACTTCTAGCTTCTTTCAAATATGACAAAGTCAGCATTTTCCCTAAAATGGCCTTAAAACTGATATCTTAATACAAGTTAGTTATTGGTAGCTATTTCCTGCTAACCCTGAGAAAAATCGCACTCAGAGATATTCCTGCAATTTTTACGGTGAAGTTTTATTGTCTTTGCTGACAATTTGTCTCGCAATTCTCTCTTTCTCTGAGCAAATTCTGCAACCAGTAGTTCAGTAATATCACCCTTCTTCTCATAAGGGGTACTAAACATCTTCTTCGGACTACTAACTTTCTTTCTTCTTAAAGTTTTATTCTTCTCAATGTGATTAAAATTAACTGTGCTACTTTTAACTAGCTTCATCTTCTTTTTCTGCTTTGTCTGCTTAGTCTGCTTAATTTTGGGGGATTTTGGAGAAGAGGGTTGCGGGTCCACACCAAGGTTCTCTATTAAGTCATTGGTCAGAGCAGCAAATGATTGATTGTCCCTTGTCTTATCATCATGCTCGTCTGCTTTAGAATTTGTGATTCATTCAACGTTTCCCATGTTTGACAATTTATTTTATTATTTCACTTGCAATCACCTTGATTTTAAAGGGGTTTTGGGGTTTTGGGGTTTTGGGGTTTTGGGG